ATTACTGCAATTAAAACTAAAGTGAAAGAAGGTAAAACATTTTGTGTCTCAATCAGAGATAGACCAGCCGCGGTGTAAAACTGCCCCGTCCCGCCCCGCCGGCGGGACGGTGCTTCACGAAATTTCGCGGTTTCCCCGCCGTTGTATAACCTTGAATTTTTAAATATACCCAAACCTTTATAGACATCTTTTTAGAATTTTAAAAATTTTTTCGCACAAAACTAATCAGTAAAAAAAATGAGTGAATGTATTATAGTTGTTATTCATTTTCATATGTTTATTTTTTTTTCTCTTTCGAGATGATGTTTATGCAGATCAGGGTTGCCAAATCCAAATTTTAGAAATCAGGAGTTTTTTTTAAAAATCAGACGTTGATCAGTAGATTTTTTCTAGAAAATCAGGAGGTTTTTCCGAAGAATCAAGAGAGAATCAGAAGACTTTTCCAAAACATTCGGAGAAAAATCAGAAGATTTTTTGAAATCAGGTTAAACAGAAAAATACTAGACAGTTTTCTCTTGTATAGGCAATATTGCCATTGTTAATTTACAAAGTCTTGTGACTTTTCTCTATCAAATGAGTAGAAAAATAATTATCTCACAAGTGAAATAAAGAAAAGAGACGGGTAATCATATGTCTCGATATCTCAAATTGAAAATCTTGAAACAAAAAATCTTGAATAAATCTATGTCTGTATACCTGTCTACTTTGTTCATAATACAATCTCGAGTCTGTCTTTTCGATCGCCGGAACAGTCAACAACGGATCGAAAAGACGCTGAAAAACTACGGAACTGAGCGGTTTCATAACGCTTCGGCGTGTTTCTTACGCCGGATATGTTGTATCCGGCAATATCTGATTCTTCAAAATTGCTGGATTGATTACAGATCCTGTGGTATGCTGATAGATTACCTTATGCGATTGATTTACTGCAAAATGAAGTAACTCCTCTCTTCCCAATCACATTTTGGACGATCGTATGTCTCCAAATCGTACACGGTGAAATATAATCGTATAGAAAGAAATACAGAGTAAAACGAAAACTGTTGACGAGCTTTGTTTGTCCATAAACGATCGTATTTCTGCGCATACGATCACGAAGTTATACAATTGCAATACTGAGCCATTGTGAAACGCCGTATCTCTCCGATTACGAGCGTGTCTGTTTGGCATAGGTTAATATTGACAACGGTTTGATGAGACTTGGAAGACATCGGATATGATGGAATGAGATAGTAACAAATGGGGGGGGGGGGGGGGGGA